TAAGGTTAAGCAAAGTAAGCCGTGCTCAGGGGCAGGGGATCGTCACCCCGGCACCCCTGGTTTTGCGGCTGGCACCGACAGCAGCCACAAAATGCCCGCGGCCAATCATGACGGCCGTGTTGTCCAGTTTATCTTGATCCATCCAATGCGAGATTGGCACTAAATCAAAAAGGGAAAGAGGGGTCCCAGCACCCTTGGCAATTTCTGCCAAAAATACGAAGAACTCACTCTCAATTTCTCACCCTTACCATCAATCTCACCCTCACTCTCACTCTCACCCTCACTTCAAGGGCCTTCACTAGCAGGGGACTTGCCTCCCATCCACCCGGGCCTCACTCATATTTCCTACAGGTCACAGACCAGGGCAAGATCAAGCTATGCCGCCATTCTCTTTTGGCGCTACTCCGTACACCAAGCATACACGGAGACTACTGCCCTTGCTGGCGATAGAGCCCCTCCGCAACAGCCTAGGCCTGCCCAGAGTGCCTAGATCATCCGTCTCCTGCGGTCAGGTCGCCACGGTTCCGACGGCCGGCTCGTGTATATTGGCAAAAAGTTGTTGCCGCATCTCTTTGTCTATTCCTTCGCGGTTCTGGTGTCGTTTCACACCACATCTCTCATATCTGACGGCCATAGGCCACTATCTCATCTCTGTTTCCTCTCACCTCCCTCGCTTCACCTTCTTCTTCTACATCCTTTCCACTTTCTTTGATCCATCTATGCCTTTATAGTGCCCTAATTCAAAGGTCAAGCCGTCACTATTACGGACGACCAAGTCACTCACTTGCACTACACTTTGCGATTCGGCTTCCTCGTAGTCGAGGTAGCATACCACCATGAAGGTGAACTCCTCAATACTGTTGAGCCTGCTAGGCTTGGCCTCACAGGCCCAGGCTGATCCGACCTGGCCCTCGGACATTGACGAGTTGGAGGAGATCATGTACCAGTCATTCAACTTCGGATCAAGACACTTTGCCGACAACGTCTTCCCCTGCGCCAAGGAGGCAACAGGCACCGGCCGCCAGACTGCTGCAGAATGGCTGCGAACCGCTTTTCACGATATGGCACCGGCCAACGCGGGGTCGGGAGTTGGCGGGTTGGATGCGTCAATACAATATGAGCTGTCGAGCACCGGCGAGAACACCGGTCCTGCCTTCTCGACAACTCTGACCTTTATGGGACATTACCTGACCCGCAAAAGCAGCATGTCGGATCTCATCGCTCTAGGAGTCTACACTTCCGTCCTATCGTGCGGCGGTCCCTCAGTTGCAATCCGATCCGGCCGCATCGACGCAACCGTGAAAGGAGCCGCCGGCGTACCGCAGCCCAACGAAGTCATCCAAGTTTTCAACTCAAAATTCAATCGCATGGGATTCACTCCACAGGAGATGATTCAAGTTACAGCCTGCGGCCATACAATCGGCGGCGTCCACACGGCCGAGAATCCAACTATAGTTCCAGACGGCACAAATGCGAACGGCTCCGCGCCCATGGATAGCTCAAACGGTGTCTTTGACAATAGAATTGTGACCGAATACCTAGACGGCACCACGCGGAACCCACTCGTCATCAAGATGGGCACGGCTCGAGCCAGTAATTCCGACTTCGTCGTCTTCAGCTCCGACAAGAACGCCACCGTGAAGGCCATGACCGACCTCGCAGTATTCAAGTCTACATGCAAGACCGTCTTTGAGAAGATGATCAACACCGTGCCATCTGGTGTTACTCTTGGCGATGCCATCGCACCCTACACCGTCAAACCGTCTCAGCTTCAGCTGTCGCTCACCTCGCCCACCGTTATGACTTTTACAGGATACATTCGCGTCCGAACTACCGCTATCACAGGTATCTCGAGTCTGACGATCAATTACAAGAACCGAAGTGGTGGGTCTACCTGCGGGACCGGCTCCTGTGTTTTTACAATTACCATCTCGGGCATCTCAAAGGGCTTGGAAGACAGCTTCTCCTGGTATCCCATCAGGCAGGAGATCCCCGTCAGCACGGGCATCTCGTCCTTTACTGTGACGATCAACAAGAGCGATGGATCGAGCACATTATTCAACAACAACGGCAACGGGTACCCGATCCAGGATGGCATCTTTCTCCAGACGTCCCAGAGCTGCCTGACGCAGAACTCCGGCGATGTTACACTGGTCGCCGCAGTCCGCAACGACCGCACGTCTCTTCCGGTCAAGGCAGAAATCTCTTACAAGACGGCGCGGACAAGCAGCGTGGTGCCGCTGCTGGGTAAGATGACCGTCGATATGGTCAAGGGCGACTGTGTAGGCAGCTACACATTTTACAGTGTCACAACGAACATTCCCGGTGGCGTTAGTTTCGAGTCGACTTTTGACTTCATCAGCGGAGAGGGCGCGTCCGCCATGATTGACCCCTTCAAGAAGGCTGACCCTATCGGTGGGACATGTTCGAGCTGGACGGGAGGGTCTTCTACATGCGGCAGCGTCACAGTGTCGTCTTCCACGTCCAGCGCGGCCCCGACTGCTACGATTTCCCACCGACAGACTATGGGTGGCTACAAGCTCGTCTCCTGCTGGACCGAGGCTTCGGGTGGCCGAGCCCTCACCGGTGCCGCGTTCGCTTACGACGGCATGAGCCTCGACAGCTGCATGGCAAACTGCACGGGATTCGACTACTGGGGCACCGAGTACGGACGCGAATGCTACTGCGGCAACTCTCTGGCTACGTCCAGTAGTTCTGCGCCCTTGGCCGACTGCAACATGCCATGCTCTGGTGATTCTACGCAATACTGCGGAGCCGGGAATCGTATTGAGTTGTACTCGACCACCGCCACCCGCACCAGCAGCTCCACGGCCTCTCCCACAGCTACTCTCGCACACATCAGCACCATCGGCAAGTATTCTCTCGTCGGCTGCCAGACGGAGGCCGATGGCGGTCGCGCCCTTACTGCTGCTCAGACTGCTGCGGACGACATGACTCTCGACAAGTGTGCTACTTTCTGCTCCGACTACACATTCTTTGGCACCGAGTATGGACGCGAGTGTAAGTGTTGAGTGCGTCTTGGGGCATGAATGAGAACTGACACGAAGTAGGCTATTGCGGTAACAGTTTGGCAGCAACCAGCAAGACTGCGTCCCTGAGCGAGTGTAACATGAAGTGTGCCGGCAATTCGTACCAGTACTGTGGTGACGGCAACCGTTTGGAGCTGTACCAAGCCGGCAGTGCCTCGTCTACTTTGGCGTCGACGGTGGCTACTACGACCTCGAGCAGCACCTCGTCATCAAGCTCTATCAGTGTCTTGGTGGCGAGCGGGTCAACGTCTTCTACTCTGACGTCTGCTTCTGCTACTGCCAGCAGTTCTTCGATCTCGTCGCAGGTGTCTACTTCAAGTTCGAGCAGTATTGCATCTTCCAGCAGTTCTACGTCTTCTAGCAGCGTGGCATCCTCACCAAGTGCCACGCCCTCCTCAAGCACCTCATCGAGCATCGCATCGTCCTCCAGCAGCGCCGTAACTTCAGCGATAACCTCGCCCTCTGCCTCCAGCACCATCTCCACCTCAACAACTGCCTCCCCTACGCTAGCTCACAAGCCTACCATCTCGCCCTACACCCTGGTAGGCTGCTGGACAGAAGGCAACGGCGTCCGCGCTCTGAGCCAGAAGAACTACGCCTCTGGCGACAACATGACGCTCGAGTACTGCGCCTCGTACTGCTCAGACTATAAGTACTTCGGCACGGAATACAGCAGCGAATGCTACTGCGGCAACTCCCTCGCCTCCACCAGCGCTGCCGCGCCCCTGGCGGACTGCAGCATGACCTGCTCCGGCAACAAGTACGAGTACTGCGGCGGCGGCAACCGCCTGACGCTCTACCAGTCCGACAAACAGGTGACGGGGCCCAGCCAGCCCGCCACGGCCGGGGTCTACGCTTTCCTCGGCTGCCGCACCGAGCCCGCGCAGGGCGGACGCGCTCTGGATGCCAAGGCTACGGCCAGCAGCGACAAGATGACCAACGAGGCGTGCGCGGCGTTCTGCGATGGGTATAGCTACTTTGGCACGGAGTACGGCGGCGAGTGCTATTGCGGTAATGCCCTGCCGACGACGTCGCTTGATGCCCCGTTGAGCGATTGCAGTATGTTGTGTACTGGCTCTAGCACAGAGTACTGCGGTAACGGCAACCGTTTGTCAGTATATAAGAAGTGAGAGCGGTGTAGTGATGCGGATGGGTTTGGGCATTAGACCCGGCGCATGTAATTATGCTGATACATTCGGCATCGACGAGATTGGAGATATGATACCTTTTTGGTCAAGAATTTCGGCCATTTATATAAAATTATAATGCATGTTACTCTCTTTGCTTTTAGGTCGAATGAACCATGTGCAGATACCTAGACTAGGGATGAACCAATTCTCCTTCTCGGCTGGCGAGAAATGTGACATCCACATGCTGTCAGTGTGCAATCCGCTCGACTCTTGCGGATCACCATTGCCAAGGAACATAGTCAAGTATTAAACTCATAGTAGATTGAAGGCCTGGGTCAACTCTTTAATCATTTCATCTACTTGAAATAGTATCCTATCCTTACGCGTCATCGTCGGTGGGAAAATTCTAAAGTTTGCTTACAGTCGGTAATGTCATGTATGACATCTTCACCGCTATTGGTCCTTCAAAAGTTGGCCTTGGTCAGTCCTCTTTAGGGGGAAAGCGTTCAGTACCTCAATTATAGATCCCGTTCAGGTTATCCAGGACGTTCGCCTTTCTGTTGCCTCCGTCGCCCACGTCCTCGTCTTGTTCTCACCTACCGAAGAGCTGCCTTCTTCCTTCCTTCTGTCGTCGCTATTAAGACAGGCACTTATCGCCAAGACGATGAAGACAGGCTAGCTGTCTTCAGGAAGGGTTCAGGGCTCACGTCAAGTAGACTGGGGATACAATATTGTATAAGAAAGAGATGACATCTGACAACACATATTCACTGACAAATCGGAAGCAGTGATCTGATTTTGTCTGACTACAATGCTCTAGTCAACTATCAAGAGAGAAGAAAGACAGAGATTCGCTCATTTCGGCAAAGACAAAAAAGTTTAGGTACGTTTTGGGGACAGCATGCTCATTCTACACAGAAGCAACTTCAATGTGGCTAAACTACTCTTGTTCCACGACGATATCTTGGAGTGCTGATAGGACCAAGATTTGAAGATACGTAGGAGCCGCAGCCTTCCATAAAGCAAGAAGAACCGTAGTTCAGGAAAACCTCGCAGCGCAGCTCCCTCCCAGACGGAACTCTCTCTTGTGTTTCTTTTCTCTTCTGTGAAGATTCCATATACGATTTCTCGTCTCGGGAAAACTTGTTGCGAGGGTGGGCCTGGTGGCCGCGAACCCTGCCAGGCAGGAGCAATGTTGAGAGCATGGGTAGAAGCGAGCTCTCTATCATACAGTTCATCTTGTATCGGATTTCAGATATGACTCGCTGGTTATTGTATCCCCTCGTGACTTAGATCTTGCCGTTACATGCTGTTCTCTTTCAGAAGGACGCCTGGTTGGATGACTTGACGTAGATGTAAATGTCCCGGGAACTTCACTCGCAATTTGAAACCATCAATCTAGTCTGTGTACCTAATACATTATGTTTCAGTTAACTTGAACGAACGTCACTCAGGCTAATAAGAGAGAGTTATACAACTCTCAAGATCGCCGACGGGTATTATCATGGTCAGCTGAGCCAGGCAAACGAATTCGCAACGTTTGGTATCTTGGAGATGTCTTGACCTCGATATCAACAACACCGACATCACCTTGAGATTGAAGCTAGTATGACGCAAATTAGTTGTTTCTGGCCGATGATCTAGATGCTCACATCAGACCTTCAATCTGTATCAAAGCATGATCGTTTGTGATTTTCATCGCGAGCTGTTATGTCATCCAGACTGACCATGTCTGAACGAAGTAGAACGTCCAGAACACAGACAGGCGATCGTCTCGCGAGAGGAGAAGCCTCATTGCAGTTAAATAAACTCGAATGCCGTGCGTCAGTTGAAACGAAGGATACAGCAGCAATGTCTGACAGCCAACGCATCGGAAACCTTCAGTATTAATTTTGACGCTGTTGCCTGGTCTCTCGCCCACAAGCGAATACGCAATTCATCTGCCACCGAACAACTTGTAAATGAATATAAGGAACGCTTCTAGAAACAATGAAGACTGACAAGACTACCTCGACGGGACAGAATTGTTTGGTTGTACAGGAAAGACGGCAGAAGGGGCTAGGGCAGAGCTGACTTCAACTCCAGGAGATCAAATCTATTAGATGGCCGCTCTATTAAACAGATAACAGACCATGCTGTTTCTGCTATACGCACAAGAACAGATGTGGCAGCGCAAGAAATTCTGCGATGGTCTTAAAGATGTAAACGGCGTATCATTGTCGTCAACGACCTACCATTCTCGTAACTCTAGCCTAATATAACCGACCAACGTTGCAAATGCGTTTATGACTCATCAATAAAAGACGACGAGAATCAGACAATGAAGACCTGGCAGAATCAATGTAGTCTAGCAAGCGACACGCAAAGGCCGTTGAAGCGAGCATCCGGATAACATCCCGCCCTGCACATACGCCTTGACGGACATCGTCAGGAGAGTCCACGGCTTCGTCCGTCACTTTGAGCAACCCCTCAGAAGATCTAGATTCCAAGAACCACGTCCACACAGTTGAGAGGAGTATAAACGATGGTCAAGAAGAATCGGGTTCTCGTCGCTGCAAGTCATAAGGGCGTTGAGCAACAGGAATATTGCATTATCGCGACATTGTAGGCGCTAAAAAGATTAGCCGACTAGCCGTATCGTTTTTGGGGCCAAGCGTCTGTCGAAAACACTATCTTCCTCGACCAAAAGAACATTCAGCCAGCGGCATCTGATGCAATCGTCATCGCAAGGCATCTCGTGAATCACGTACCGTACACCTGGTCGCATTTACGATTCAGTTTGGAGGTGATTGCGATGCGCACAAGAACGTCTACGACAGCCGGCATTTACTTGTAACACAATAACTCTCACGTCACATCACAGCATGAAGCATCTCATCCTCGTCGGGGCGTGCTACGTCGACACAGTCCTCAGGCAAGGCTCTCATCCCGCCCACTGATCAAGACTGGGGCTTTTCTACTCACACCCCTTCTTCTCAAGCGTACCTCACTTCCCCGAAGAGGACCTGAAGCTACGAGCTACGAGCATCCGCGTACGCAGGGGCGGCAACTGCCCTAACACAATGGAAGTCCTCCAGCAACTCCTCCGCGCAGAGCACCTACCGCATTCACAAACCGAGCCCCTGACGATGCACCTCGTCTCGCCCCTGCCGGAACGTCAATCTCAGGCGACGGCGCAGATCATCGCCTCGTTCCCGCCAGCGCCAGATACCACCGTCGTCGCCGCCGCCAACGCCGCGGAGATCACATTTGATCACTGCCTATTCCGCAAAGGCCACCAGGCGCCGGCGAGCAGTTACATCTTCCGCAGCGAGGCAACCGGCAGCCGGACAATCGTAAACCACAATGACCTGCCCGACATGACGACGGACGAGTTCCTCAACGTCGTCGAGGCGTTCCGCGGCAAAGGCGGCCGGACGTGGTGGCACTTTGAGGGACGGGTTCCGGAGACGACACTCAGCTGCATTCTGGCTCTTCGGCGGGCCCTGGGCGACGACGTGGTGACGGTCAGCGTCGAAGTCGAAAGGCCGGGCAGGGCGGGGTTGAGAGAGCTCGCTGCTGAGGCGGACGTGGTTTTCTACTCCAAGAGCTGGGCCGAGGTGCGTCACGTTCGTTCTTGGATATCGGCGTACGCCAGTCACAGCAGTGTGCGGTGCATACTGACATGACTGGCATAGGCCTGCGGGTATACGTCCGCTGATGATTGTCTAAGGGAAGAGTCGCTGTCGTTACCACGGACGTGAGTTCGGTCAAGAGGTGTCTACCGGTCACGCAACGCGTTTCTTGCTGACTGCAGAATAGGTCGTTGGCTATGGTTACGTGGGGTGCTGAGGGAGCATGGTGCATATCACCCAAGGACCGGCAGCTGGTCAAAAGCCCCGTCGAGACGCCGGTGAAGCAGGTCGTCGAGTAAGCTTCGCCATACCACTACTCAATACTCAACCCTCTTCTTGGCGCGCGATACTAATAAGTTTGGGGGGGGGACAGCTCGGTAGGGGCGGGGGACACCTTCGTTGCGGGCATGCTGTACGGACTGATCTGCCAGGCCGACACTTGGGACGTAACGCACAAGTTGGGCTTCGCGGTTGCACTCGCCACACTCAAAGTCCAGCGAGAGGGGTTTGGTGGACTTGGAGACGATACTCGTAAGAATACGCAAAGGTCGCGCTGACGGTGGGCCATCCGTCAGGCGTTGAAACTGTCGCCGTGGGCACTCCGGGTCGTGGCCCCGTGTCCCCCCGGTGCCGTAGATGGATGCTTCGGCGGGTGGGGCGACTGTCCGCCAATCGTCAGGTAAGCCAGGCCAAGAGGCCGTATTTTGCCCGCCAGCGGACCGATGGAGCACCCGTCGGTGGTCGCGCCTGTTCCGAAGCTGTGCGAGAGTGAAATGTTGTAAGACCCTCTATGGCTCTGTGGGGATCAAGAGGCGGTGTACATGGTTGGCAAGGCTCAAGCGAGGAGGCAACCTGTTACGAGGGAGGGGACTCGGCAGTACACTAATAGTTGGACATCCGCAAAGGCCAGGACGCGTTGGCGGCGCTCGTTGTTATTAGTGGAGGGGTGACAGGCCGGGCCAACATGCATTCATGCGCCGCCGATGCTTTGATGCAGCTTGAAGATGGTGCACCTCACACGGGGCCTGCGACGGCGAACAAGGCTGCATGTGGCCTGCTGCAGCTGATAGTGGCATGCCGCATGGCCCCCAGACCTAATCGGAGACTACTGCGCAAGCAAAAACGGGGAGAAGTAATTTGGGCCGTTGCTACAGTACCTCTGTGTGTACGTCCTCACATGCCGGCCAGCGAAGTTTGTCGCGAGAATTTCGTCCCCTTCATATGGATCTACTGCAGCGAGACCGTGTGGGTGACTGAATATACATACAGATGGGCCAAGTGACCTTGTAGGGGAAGAGGGCTGGGGATAGCGAATTGTCACATTTCTCGTAATTCGGTTGCGGAGCCAGAGCCTGGAAATGAGGCAGAGAAGAAGAAAAAACTCTTCCCACGACGTTGGACCTCTCACGAGAGAGAATGAATAGGCGATGGTTGATACAGTGAGTGGGGACCACGGCCTGTTTGTCGATCTGCGGCGATTCAAGAGCCTGGTTTGTTGTGCTCTTCCTGAAGTTCCTCGAAAGTAGTCAGTGGAGCCGGGTCTATTTCCTCGTGTTCCCATACCACGGGTCTCGAGAAGAGATGGGAAAGTCGAAGTATCCGTAGTAGAGTGTGGCCGGGTTCGTACGGATGCACAACGCATATGGCCCCGAGTCTCCGTTGTTTGATCCTAACATTGTGGTGCCGAATGGTGCCGTACGGGAGTCAACATCGACGGCGGGGCTGCAAATCTTTGCGGTCGTCACGGTCAACAAATCATGACGTTCCCTTTCTTGCAGGCCCGACGACTCAAGTGCGTCGGGCGGGGTCGGTCCATCCCATCATCATCATCAAGCTCGGCCTGCGCCTATCTTATCTTCGCTCCTTAGCTACGGCGAAAATGTTCTCGAGCACCCAAAGGTGACGGACTGCTGCAACTTTTGCTTCGTTCTGGGAATGTTGGCGTTGATACGTGGATCGGGGTGCCGAGTAAAACTTCGAGTACCTCGGGAGATGCAGAGAAACGCTGACGAGGGTGGATTACAGTCAGGCGTTGTAGTAAAGTTACTCGCGCGAGCGAGTCCGCATTTCTTAGACCAGTGGCCCCTGACGGGAGGAAGCGGATTTGTCTGGATGTTCGTTCGTTTGACAGCTTTGGGATGAAGTTGAGCGGGCGGTGGGCGGTGCCTGGTGGCAAAACCTTGGATCGTCCAGAATGATGTAGCGATTTCCGCCCACAGACCAACGGTAGCAGGGGCTTTTGCCGACTTTGAGACCACGGTACCAGAGACTGGGAGCAGGGACAGGCGTTCTGGCACAGTCAGGCTTCTGCAGCTTCAGAAATAAGCCCGATGAGCCCGACGGAGCTGAGCAGTCGAAAGCTCCTGTGACCGCATCTGTAAGACCGGGCAGACAGTCTGCGGGTCGCCTTTCTCAGGGGTTGGTTGTGCTGTGTAGGGGGGAAACATCGCACCACTGTTCCCATTCTCAAGGGTAGAGTAAAGCAAGCACTGCATGGCAGATTGTCTGACCGAGGGGCCGAAGGGGGCGTCCCTGTAATCGACGTCGGATATGTGGTCAAGGACGGGCTTACTTACAGAATGGTAGGTAATAGCAAGGAGACCAACAGGGACATGCGGATACCTAGCGGAAGAAGGAAAGTAAAGATACCGTATCCATATAGTCGGATGGAACGCAAAAATGATACTGGCACACTGGATCATCAGTCAGCCATCCTGGCCGCGACTGCTTGCGAATGCTGTGCGACAAGGGCTAGATGACTGGGTAGTGAGTACATACTAATTATGATAGCTTCCAAAAGCTTCGTCGATCGAAGGACGCCCGCTTGTGCTCGGTGGTTGTAGCAATGGCAGCGAGCGGAGGAGCACGGCGGCGCGGGTTGCGTCGCAAAGCTAGTGGCAGCAAATATGAGCGTTGGTCACAGCTAGTAAGTTGTATCCGTAACAGCCTCATGTCGACCATTCTTGCATGTCTCGTGGGACGAAAAGAAACCCCGGCTGGCAAGCGGGGATGAGCGAAGATGTGGGGGCGAAGGACGGTTAGTAAATAATGGGACTGTCCGTCCATGGCGTCTTCAATCTCTGTTGGCGTGCCTGGCACTGGGAAGAAGGGGTGTGAAGTGTGGAATATCGGTAAGTTGAGCTTGAACCGGGGCAGGGGGGTGGCACCAAGCCAGTCGAAGGGGAAAGGAATCGTCAGGGTAGCATTGGACAGCGGTAGTCATGGCGGTGATGGCTGGCTCAATCAGCGGCGGCGGCAACCGGTAAGGGTGAGACTGATCTTGTTAGCGTATGGAAGGGGTGGTGAAGACTGAAAAGGGCAGAAAACCAAAATCTTTCACTGCCTCATCCTCATCGACGTTACGTGCCCACACCCCTCCTTTTCATCCAAGCCATCTCTCCTCCTTAGCCCGCATTTAACTTGCTGAGATCGGCGAGGTCTCTACCTACTTGCGGATAGGCACGCACGTAGGAAACCAAAAGCACACTATCCGTAGTTTGCTGTTATGTCGAGTAGCGGGCACGTATCGCTTCTGCTTCGAAACCCTATGTTTGCTGGTCAGATCCATGTACTGGGTACCTCTCAACAGGTGGTGCCACCTCTACAAATAGATGCAGCCAATGCTTCAACTTTTCAAGCATATCTCATCGTGACTTTCTGCGCCCGGCTCACAGGAACCGCCTCTCGTGCTATGACGAGTCATGATCTGCATCGCAAAGTTATTGAGCAGCCATATCTTCTGTTCGGTTGCTTTGATCCAGATCATAAGATCCGGTCCTCACTTGCCTAGAATGACTGTCAGCGTCCAGCTTTGAGGCCAGGTGCTCATGGCTTTGCTCTCGCAAGTCTCGTGAGCTTGGCTTACTTTCGATGTATCGATATACGGAGTACCCAATGCCCATAGCCTCGCTCGCGTAGCATTACCGGTATGGTATGCCGACCGTCCGCATGCTTCCTCTGTTCAAGTATCAGAATGCTGAAGCTCCGGTCAGTCATTATGGGACTGAACGACGAGTCTTTTGCAAGAGAACAGAGGATATACCGGAGAGAGTCCGGCAGCCAGATCATCCCCGGTCCCAGCCGCTCCACCGTGAAGAACGCCTTGATTGCCATTACCTGGTCAGACAGCCGCTAAAATCGCAAAGGGTGCTGGGCCCATGGCACTGGTTAAAGAGTGGCACCGGCCGGATACTTTTGCCCATCTCCAAGCCAGGCCCGCTGGGCTACGCTAGGCGACTGACGCTGTCCTCTGTCTGACAAGGGACTCATCATCTCCGAGCCAATCCCTGGCATCTTTCAGCACGTTGGAATCTCTGGGGCCGGGACTAGGGCCGGGATCCTAGCTCGCTGGATGACAAGCCATGGCCATATCATGGCCCATGTCTAGGATTGTGTGTGCGTGTATGTGCTGGTTCCCGCATTCGGTCGGACTAAATCGTCATGGGCAGCTGCAATTGCCGCCGCGTGGTGTGGTAAAGGTAAACAGCACCTTTGTACGTATTCCGTACCCGGATTCTTGCTGAGTCGTTCAAGTGAGAGGTCTTGAGTCTCTGTGTATTCTATAGGCTGATGAGACGTACTGCACTTCCGCCAGGTAGCCGAGAGGTATATACAGTTATTCATACTCTCGCGAACCGAATCACCTGGGGCAGTGTGAATGCCTATCTGGAATTCTGAACCCGAAAAATGCTCAGTGAAGTAGATGGCCGTGGATGGCGCCGTCTCGCCCCGTTGTATCGTCCCGATGGTCGGTGCTTTCTGTCAAGTTCCCCCATCCATGCAAGACGCCCAATCAGTCTTCAGGGGGTTCTCTTGGTGGCCCGCGCGTGAACAGTTGATCATCTAGTGGGACTGATCTTACCAGGGCTGGTTCAAGGGTTAGCGGATTCTTGGTCGACAACCTCGAAGTGACCTTGGGAAGCCTGTTATCCCTGCCCTGTTTCATTTTCATCTTTGGCAGACCATAAGATGGACTGCACGCTAGCATGTATACAGCCAGACCCACCAAAGTCGACCCCTGAGATCCCTGACTTCTCGAGCCTGGCTAGCTGGCATGACAGCTTTGCGCATTAAAGTGTTTTTGTCGGTAGGCCCCGGTTTCACCGAGGCCCTGACTGCTCTGCCCTGCCGCCTGGTTCTATTCATCAAAGAATGCTAAACAGGACACAGTTAGCACACCACCCCTTGAGCACAAACGGCCGAGCGTCACCCGGGCTTTATTTAGCTCGAGGATGATATTATCCCCATAGAACCTTGGAAGTCCGAAAGGTCTCGTTGCTAGCAATAAACACGTCAGTGATTTGCGGCTGTTATTAGTTTGTTGTGGACCCCATACTTGGTGGTAACCTGGAGCTTAACGCCCCGTTTTGTGCAACATGCGGGTCGTAGTCACCTGGCAGGAATTGCTTTGCGCCGTCTTCACTGATTTCTTCCAACCCAACGCTGTCTTCGTATTTGAGGTGAAAGCCTGGTGACTTATGGAAGAAGAGGAGGCACCCCTCATGGTGTCGTCCGCCATGCCAGAGATACCCCTGGCCCTGTATCCGTACAATACGTTTTATCTTGGTTGATAAGACTTAGAGGATCGAAGCAGTGTGTATTGAAATAGCTTAGGTCGGCAGTGAAGTTGGGGCATCAGACGTGAGCGTTCAAGATCGATCAGATACCAGCGGAGTTGACCATGCGTGCGTGCTTTCTTGTCTGGTTCACATCCGGATCAAATACCTAGGTAGACGGCCCAGCACCGGGTCTTCGTATGTAGTGTACATACGGATAATGCATTGGGCGGGGGTCAAGGCTCGTCAATCGTGCGCGATTAAGGAAAATTGCATGCTGATCATCTCGCGGAAGCAAGTTTGGCTTTTGTCTATCCAGCCACGCCCCTAAGTGACCTGGTGCACGAAACCAAATATGGTCGAACAGACTTCCGCCGACTGACAAGGAGTAGGATCGCTGGCCTTCAGTATCCTTACATACTTGGTCCCGGTACATGATGCGCAGGTAAGGAGAGACGGCTGCTGTCCGAAGGGCACCGACCTCCTCGAGAAATCGGGAGACCTCTGGTATCAAGGAAGCGTATCCGTGTCGTCGTCTTAAATCGAGAGAGCTTCAATCAGCCACGCGTCCTTGTGGCGCGGGTGGGCACAGCACGGAGCTGACAGCCATAATTCTAGCAACCCCGAGAATGTGGCTGGGAAAGTGAGCCGGCCTCATCTTGATCACCGCTTCGTATTGGTGCATGAGCGAGAACGTGACGGCGAGGATTTCCAACCTTCGTTAAGTCGTCAACTGAAAGGCGGCCGTGAAAGGGACGAAGCGTGCCCGTATGTGAACGCTTGAAAGGGAATGTGGGCTATGAGTTGTGATACCTACGGATAGTCAGTATCGAACCATCGACGGAGACGCGGGAAACAAATCGGCGTAAGCCCGACTCGGTCGAGTCTTTGGCAAAGTGCACTGTTGATGCGCAGTGTTGGGCGGAAGATGATGAGTCGGTGACAAGACACGCCGATGCTGGAGGACAACTTCTGTGACAAGTCTAAATGGCACACGGATCGTAGCCGTGTGATCCGGCCATTGGGAATGGCAGGGCTCAATGGCTCAGACTTTGAAAAGGTCTCGCCTGGCTGTGATCGCCCTTGAATAACACGGTAGTGTGCTCCATACTGTGTTGGGC